GACAGTTCGGCTAGTACATTAATTTTTTCTCGGCAGTCGTCTTTCGAGGAGTGCGGCGGCTTCAAATCTAGTACACAAAACGAGGCCAATACCCTATCGAAACTTTTATTCCTGTCAGCCGCTGGCACAAGGACGCCCCAAATTCTTGTTACGGTGTAAATTAGAAGCTCTATGTCCGCTTTAGGTTCCGGTTGCCGGAGCGAAATAAGCGCCGAAATGGAATCTTGTATGTACTTTTTACATTGTACTTGTACTTAGCACTTTGTACTGAGTACTTTGTAATCTGTACTTTGTACTCTGTACTTTGCACTTCGTACTTTGCACTTTGTACTTTTTAATTTGTACTCGGTACTCTGTACTTTGTACGTTGTACTCTGTGCTTTGTACTTTGTACTCCGTGCTTTGTACTTTACACTTTGTACTTTTTACATTGTACTTGTAATTAGCACTTTGTACTGAGTACTTTGTAATCTGTACTTTGTACTCTGTACTTTGCACTTCGTACTTTGCACTTTGTACTTTGTAATTTGTACTCGGTACTCTGTACTTTGTACGTTGTACTTTAAACTTCATACTCTATACTTTATACCTTATAGTTTATACTTTATACTTTATACTTCATACCTTCTCCTTTATACTTTATAATTTATATTTCATTTTTTATACTTTCTAATATTTATATCCTACTTGTTAGTTTGTAGTTTGTAGTTTATAATTTAAAGTTTTCATTGCTCATAGTTCATTGCTAATTGTTCATTGCTCATTGTTCATTACTCATTTTTCATTGCTCGTTGTTCATTGTTAATTGCTAGTGGTTCATTGTTCATTGTTCAATGTTCATTGTTTATTTTTCGTTTTTTTCATTGTTCGTTGTGCATTTATAATTTTTTAATTTTACATTGTTCATTTTTTGTTTTTCATTGTTCATTGTTCGTTTTTTCATTGCTCATTGTTTTTTTATTATTCATTGTTCGTTTTTTCATTGCTCATTGTTTTTTTCATTGTTCATTGTTCGTTTATTCGTTGATCATTTTTCGTTTTTTCATTGTTCAATTTTCGTTTTTTTCATTGTTCAGTGTTCATTTTTTCTTTGTTCATTGTTGGTTTTTTCATTGTTCATTCCTAAGTGCACAGTCTCCCTCTTCTTTCGTTATGGTATGCCTCAATCTTGAAGGTCTCATTTTAGAAGTTTGGTGCCATTTCGGTTATTATTTTCCATTTGTACAGAATGACATACCTCTCCCGTCTCCTCTGCAGTGAGTATAGACCCAGTCGCTGCAACCCCTCCCAGTAGTTCAACTCCTCCAGCACTCTGATCCTGGAAATGAAGGTTAATTGGACCCCTTCCAGTTGTCATACTGCTCCGAGTGTGAACGGAGTCCAAAGCTGGCAGCAGTATTCAAGGATGGGTATTACAAGGGCTCTGGAGAGTGTGATAATCAGTTCCGCTTTTCTCGTTCTGAATGTCCGCCAGATCCACCCCAACTGCCGCCTACCTTTTGCGGTTATTGCCGCTATTTGATCACCAAAATTGACCTGATTGTTCATCAACACTCCTAGATCACGAACGAGTCGCTTCTCTTCGATTTCCGAGTTGTCAGGTGCCAGGTAGCGGTGCTCAATTCCAGCCCTTCTATTTCCTCTGTACCTCAGAACCTAAAACTTGATCCCGGTTAACCGCATGTTGTTCACTAGGGCCTATTCATATTTGCAGAGAGGTCTTCTTGCAACCTCTCACAGTTCGTCCTGAATGGATGGTCACCGTGATGGTCACTAGTATCCTGGTGTCGTCCGCGAATGACGATGTAGTGGCGTGGTTCAATGTCACATCTATGTCGGCAATGTGAATGAGGAAGTGGATAGGGCCTAGTACCGTTCCCTGTTTTACTCCACTCTTCACCCTAGCCTCGCCCGATCTCGAGCCTCCAACAACTACAGCTTGTAGTCTTTCTATTAGGAAGCTGTGGGTTCATGCCAGCAATTCACTTCCGACCTCATTAGTCATAATTTTCCGTAGAGCACTCCAAGGCCAACTTTATGTTTTTCTTACTTTCTTTCAACTTTTGTCACTCCATGGTAACTTTTTAGGTAACTAGGAACGTTTCCTGGTCTCAATGATGTTTTCCAGAGTAAAGCCAGAGGGACCTTCAGTGCACCGATAGATTTTTAAGTAACACAGCAGGGACCTCATCTGGCCCGGGAGCCCAATAAGTCAATAATTCTTGGATACTCCTCTCTAGATCCAGTGCTTCAAATTCAATGTTCATCAGCATCCGACCTCCTGGTAGGTCCTGAATGACTCCAATTTCGTTCTCCTGTCTTGAGTATCGGGGTTTGCTGAATACTTTTTCAAACTGTTCTCCTAGCAGTTCCCACATGCCCTGGTGGTCTCTAATAAGGATGTCGTTATTTTTCAGAGGCCCCACTGTTGCTTTGATGAATGCTTTATGCCTTTGACTGGGCATATTTGTAGAAATATTTGGGATTCTCCCGGATGTCAGCCACCGCCCGGTCCTTAGCAACTTGTTGTTCAGCCTCGAGCGAGTCTTGCAACTGTCGTTCAGTGTCCTCAATTTTCTCCTTTAGATGCTCCAGCCTCCGCCTCTCCATATTCCCGGTGGCGGCCGTTATCTTGTTGTTCAAGCTCGCTCTTTTTCTCATGAGGATCCGTCAGTCCCCTGAAATTATGTGCCGTTTTGGCGTCGTTCTTTCCTGCGTGTGGCGCGCGCATACCTGCAGTAATACTTCGCACAGTATTTTGTACATTGCTTCGGCAATAAACTCAGGAACTCTGATTTCCAGTCGAAGTCGAGGAGTTCATTTTTAATTGCCTTCTAGTGTGTTCTTCTATGATGAAAATTTAGCCCAGCCAGGCCCTCTCGAGATGTGGGTCTGGGCTCGTTTCCAATACCATTTGTTGTTTCGACCACTACTCGTCGATGGTCTGACAGTGCGGTTTCCTCAACCCGAATATCAGCAACTAGTTCTTCATTGCTGGTGAAGAATAGATCCAGGATATTGTGTTATCTTGTTGGTGCCAGCACCTGTTGACTTAGCAAGTGCTCCCTAGCAAAACGAAGTATAACGCAGGGGAATTTTTTTTGGCGCGATGGAGTTTCTGAGGTAGACTATAACGCCTCATTTTTTCCTCTATTTCTTTCGGAGCGATCGGCAATGTTGAAAGCCTTTCATTTCGATTTCTCTATTTGGTATATCCTCTTTCAGATGTGACTCGGTTAAGGCAAGCATGCTTATTCCTTCTGTCTCAGCAATATCTTTACGTACGCCGATCTTGTGGCGTTCATTGTTCGTTGTTCATGGTTAGTTTTTCGTTTTTAATTGTTGATTGTTCATTGTACGTTGTTTTTGTTCATTTTTTATTGTTCATTGTTCATTGACCGTTGTTCATTGTTCATTTTTTCATTGTTCCATTTTTCATTCATTGTTCACTGTTCGTTTTTCATTGTTTATTGTTCATTGTTCTATTTTTAATTGTTCAATGTTTCATGTTTCAATTTTCATTTTCATGTTTTCCATTTTTCATTTTTAAATTTTCTGTAACTTCATTTTTCAATTTAAAATTTTTCGAATTTTTTAATTTTTCCATTTACTATTTACCAATTCTTCTATATTTAATTTTCCATTTTTTGTAACTTCTCAATTTTAATTTTTTCATTTTTTATTTCTTATCAATTGCAATTTTTCCGTTTTTCCTTCCTTAGTTTTTTATTTTTCCTTCCTATTTTTTTCATTTTAAAATATTATTCTTCTTTTTATTCTGTTTTTCTTTCTCATTGTTTCAGGTTTTATTTCCATTACTTCATTTTATTATGTTTTTTTAACCTTTTTATAGTGTTTTTAACTTTTTAATTTTTTAATTATGTCCATTCCTTTTTCATTATGGAAAAAATTATCATTATTATATTCTTTCTTCAGTTTTTCTCTGCGTCGTTTGTCATTTTGTCATTTTTTAATTTTATAATTGTTGTCATTTCTTTATTACTTCATTATTAAATTTTACATTTCTTTCATTTGATTTTAATATACCATTTGTTCGTTTTATTTGTTTCTAATATTGTAATTTTTAATTTTTTAAATTCATTTTTATGTATTCCATATTGATCATTTTTATTCATGTCCATTTTCAAATTTTTTAATTTTTCCATTTTTCAATTCTTAAATTTTTCAATTTTTCCATTTCTCCATTTTACCCTGTTCCACTTTTTCATTTTCCATTCATAAATTTTTCTATTTTTCATTTTACCAATTACATTTTTCCATTTATATAGCATACATATACGTATATATATGTCCCGAACGTATCAGATACCAAATGTTCTCGCCCCGCAGTCGCCCCACGCTTGTCAATGAATAGACCGGATCCTAATCAGGTGCTTATTTCTCTCATACAACCAGAACCTAAAGCGGACATAGAGCCGCTAATATACACCGCTAAGCGAGCTTGTGGCCTCCTTGAGCCAGCGGGTGACAGGAATCAAAATTTTGATAGGGTCTGCTAGTGTTTATGAAAGGCAATGGGCATGAGAGGCCATAATTATGAATGCAGAACAAGTTCGATAAGTTATTTTTAATTGCATTTGTAATAATGCAATATCTGTGTTTTCTTTTGGTTAATTTTTTTCATCGTTGTTGTAAACAAATGAACTTGCTTCTTTCTTCGATGCCGGTCCTGTCAGCTGCTAACCAATACAGTACTGCTTCTCAGAAAAGGTTTAGTGACCTTGGAAACATATTCATGAGCTTTACAATGATTTTCACTTTTAATATGTTACTTCTAGCTAAGTTATTTGATGTGCTTATGCAGCTGCAGAATCACTTATTTGCAGCTCTACAATAGCCACAAAATGTACTTACTCCGAAGATTATCTGTCCACCATAAGCTTCACGAATTTTCCTCTTCATGCTGGTTTATCTTGAGCAATTTCGTTCGGGCATTTGTCTCTATTTGACATCATAGCGCTTTTTGTGTTGCAGGTGCTGGGCCTAGGACTCGCCACGGCTTCGTATCCTGACAGCGTGAGTACAATAGCCGTAGCCGTGTTTCCAGTTGCGTCGCTTTTATTATTATTTCGTGTCCAAATTCTTCATGAACAGCTAAGTAGTCATTCACTTTGTGCATAATGCATAAATGCTATTGATTTTAATCAACCTAATTTGGGGGACAGGGCGAAGACAAACTTCAAGGCTCTGAATACCAATAAGAAGCTTGGCAAACAGGTTCAAGATCCTTATGAAACACAATTTTTATTGTAGATTTTGGAGGAAGGAATGATATTGAGAAGATGAGAGACTAATATCAACTACTTCAAAAATTATTCTTGTTCATTGTACGATTGATGTATGATTCTGCTCGGTAATTTTTAGCTAAGTTTGATAAATCATGGAAATCCATAATTTTTCGTGCCAATTAATAATTATTGCCGTTGATTATAAATTTAAGATTTTGGGTACCTTGGAATGAAGCAAAAACGCTGTCCTCATTTTTTTTTTTAAATCTTACGACAAATAGAGTATTGAGTGATTTTTCTGAAAGGAATAGTTTAAAAAAACTGTTGGGTTATTTATTATGAAAAACGAGCGTAACTGGCGACATCAAATCGGGTAATGAGCAACGCCTGCTAATTAGATCAAAGTCGGTTCTCACAGCTTCTGGGACAGCTTGGCTACTTTGAACTAGAACTGCATGAACTCAGTCGTCTAGCTGGTTACAGCGAGGAATTCAATTAGCAATAAAACCCACCCACAGCGGGGGAGTAACTCACACGTTCATCCGCAGGTCAACGTGGTTTCAGGCCCTCCTGGCCGGCTGAGATGTAGAGCGGCGACTTCCACTTCTGTCCGCTTCCGGTCCCTGACGTTGTCAGGCAGCAAATCGGTGATGGTGAGCCATATACCTGTTTACACATTCAGTTTTAGGAGACTGTGTAAAAAAGCTCGGTGGTGGTGAGCCGTGTACCTGTTTACACATGCAGCGTTAGGAGCAAGTGTAAACGAGCTCGGTGTAATGAGCCGTGTAACTGCGTACACTTGCAGCATTAGGAACCCGTATAAACGAGCTCGGTGGCAAGGAGCCGTGTAACTGCGTACACTTGCAGCATTAGGAACCCGTATAAACGAGCTCGGTGGCAATGAGCCGTGTAACTGCGTACACTTGCAGTATTAGGAACCCGTATAAACGAGCTCGGTGGCAATGAGCCATGTAACTGCGTACACTTGCAGCATTAGGAGCACGTATAAACGAGCTGGGTGGTAGATTAGATTCAACAACAAATGCAGCCGCTGTTGTCACGGTACGAACAACAGCAACAATCACAGCAACAACTGCAACAGCTGCAGAGCCAGGAACCCCCTGGCAGAGTATGGCATCATGATAGTCAACATCGAGGGGCTTTTCCCAAGAAGAAAATGCCACAAGATCGGCAAGCTTAAATAAATTAGTGAGACAAAAGCAATAATCATGCTTTCCTTAACCGAGTCACATCTAAGCGAGTATGTCCGAGATTTAGAAATTGAAATGAAAAGCTTTCAACATTAGTGAACAGACCGAGCAGAAGGGAGGAAAAAGGCGCTATAGTCTACCTCGGAAACCCCCTCACGGCACAAACAGTTCCCCTGCATTGAGGCTCCAACGGATGTGTGAAACATGTTATATTACGCATCTCCAATCTATAATTGTGCATAGCTATCGTATACCGACTGCTTGACTGCTCACCGGAAAAATTCAATGAAACTCTAGAGAGAATAGAAACAGAGGTGGCCAACTTGGCTGAACATTCACCAAATATTGTGGTTGCAGGAGATTTCAACCTACCACTCATACGATGGCCACACTTGGACTTTGGACGGCATAGAGATCAGGATAGAACCCAGGCAACACAACTACTTCGATTTGCTGTGAACACCTGCTTAGGCAATAAAAGCTGGTGCCAACAAGATCACAATATCCTGCATTTATTCTTTATCAGCAAGGAAGAATTGGTTACTGATATTCGTGTTGAGGAGACCACACTGTCCGACCGAGTTCTTGGAGTTAAATGCCGAAGCAATGTACAACAAGCTGTGCGAAGTATTACTGCAGGCAAGCGCGCGTCACAAGCCGGGAAGAACGACCCCCACACGGCACATAATTTCAAGCGATAGACTGATCCTCATGAGAAAACGAACTAGTTTGATTAACCAGGTAACAACCGCCGCCAGGAATATAGTGAGGCGGAGGCTGGAATATCTAAAAGAGAAAATTGAGGACACTGAACGACAATTGCAGGACTAGCAGGAGGCTGAACAACAAGTTGCGGAGGTGCGAGTGATGGCTGCCATCTGAGAAAATCCCAAATATTTCTACAAATATACCCATTCAGGGGAAAAATTTAGAGCCTCAGTGGGTTTCAGAAAAATAACTATGTCCTTATTGGAGACGACCAGGGCATGTGCGAACAGCTAGGAGCGCAGTGTGAAAAAGTATTCGGCAAGCCCCGATACTCAAGACAGGAGAACGAAATTGGAGTCATTCAAGACCTACCAGGGGGGCGGGTGCTGATGGATATTGAGTTTAAAACACCTGATCAAGAGATGAGTATCCAAGAATTATCGACTCATTCGGCTCTGGACCTGATAAGGTCCTGGCCATTTACTGAAAATATGTGTCACTGCATTAATGGTCCCTCTTACTCTACTCTGAAAAACATCATTGAGAGAAGGAAACGTTCCTAGTTACCCAAAATTATGGCTTATAACCCCAATATACAGAGGAAGTGCCAGAGATAAACGAAAAAATTACAGGCCGGTTACATTAACATCACACGTTATCAAAGTATTTGAAAAAGGTTGTTGCCAGAAGCCTGGTGCAGTACACGGAGGAAGCTGACCTGTTCAACAGAAGGCAACACGGTTCTAAACGAAATCGCTCCTGTTTGTCTCGGATACTGGAGCATCGCCACCAAATTCTGGCCATACTGGAGGATGGGGCCGGGGTGGACGTGGTGTAGTGGACTTCGCAATAGCGTTTGACAAATTTGACCATGAAGTGCTCATCAGAAATTTAAGACTACTGGAGGTGGGTGGTGAATTGTTGGTATGAATCCACAGCTTCCTAACAGACTAAAAGCTGTCGTTGTTGCAGGCTCGAGATCGAGCGAGGCTAGGGCAAAGAGTGGTGTACCACAGGAAACAGTACTCTGGCCGGCATTGAACCACGCCAATGCGTCGTCATTCGCGGACGACACTAGGATTCTATTGACCATCACGGACAGAACGGACCGAGAGGTTGCAAGAAGACCTCTCTGCAACATGTGACTGGGCCCAAGTGAACAACATGCAGTTCAACGGGACCAAATTTGAGGTTCTGAGATACTCAGCTACTGGTAGAGCTGGAATGAAGCACCGCTACCTGACACCTAACAACTCGATAATCAAAGAGAATCGTTCGCGATCTAGGAGTGTTGATGAACACTATGGTCAAGTCTGGTGATCACATAGCGGCAATAACCGCAAGAGGTAGGCAACAGATGGGGTGGATCTGGCAGAGGTTCTGAACGAGAGAAGCGGAACTGATGATCACACTCTTCAGAGCCCCTGTAATACATCTCCTTGAATAATGCTGCCAGCTCTGGAACCTGTTCTTACTCGGTACGGTGCGGCAACCGGAAGGAGTCCAACGAACCTTCACTTCCAGGATCCCTCCTGGAAGTGAATCAGGAACAAAACCTTCCGCAACAAATATTAAGGATACTAAGGAACTGTTCACACTTGCTGTATTAAGAGCACGTGTAAACGAGCAAGGTGTACTGAGCCGTGTAACTGTACAGTTTACACAATTTCAACATTGAAAGCCCTTGTAAGCGAAATCGACAGCAAGTAACCACTCTTGATTAAGCATGTCATCATACTTTGATGTTTTTATTTTCAAAGAAGCGACTGTAATGTCGTTAACAGATGATAAAAGTGTTTTAAATAACTTGATGTTTTCTTGGCTTAAAAACTGGAGGGATGTGTTATTCTACAAGGGCCCCATTCAGTACGCAGGGATTTGGATACGTCTCCTAAATAAGAGCCCGAGTTACGTCCCTAATTTTGCTGGAGACTTTTGCTCAGCATGTTCGTGGATAGATAATACAGGGTAGGCTAAAAATCACAGCACGACTTCAATTTTTTTATTCCAACTGTTATATGCTTGAAATTTCAGTTTCATAAGTCAAGGCGATGGTAATTGATTTTCTATCACTAATTTAATTTTATTATCATCACTAATTTGCTTTTAGTAAGCATTAGAAACTTTATTGTTACGTGCGAAAAATAACATCCTGCATATGCCAACCATTTTCTGCTTCATAAATTGCAGCTCTTTCCATTATCTCTGCCATAAACTTTTCCAAAGTTACTGGGCTTATTTCTTTTACTTCTCTAGTGATGTTTTCCATTAGCTCTATTAAAGATTGGGGCTTGATGGCGCAATCTTGTGGTTGCTTGTGGTTGTTGTCTCTCACATTGAAATGTCTTCGATAAGCTCTTTGGGTTTGAATTATTGAGCCATGATTTTAAAAGTAAAATTTTACAATTTTTGTACGTTGGACAGTATAAAGTTTCAAAAAATTTTTCCAGGATATGAAAGAAGTAAAAATTGTTAGGAAAATAAAAAAAACATTAAGAAATAAAAAGATATTAGCAAATGAAAAGGGTCAAGGAATTTTGGCTCACCCTGTTTATGTAGCGGTGATGTTCATTTGCTTTCTTCTTGCAGACCTACCGACGCTTCTCGATCTCGACTCTCAATATGACAGCTGCGGTAAATGCGACTAAAAGGATGTCGGCAATGGACGTGGTGCAGTGCGCGAGGCAGGCCGCCTTGGAAGGTGAATATTCTGCTTCCACTGTGGTCTTGAAGAATTGCTTGAAATTAAGGTCCCTTTGCAACTTCGGCACCTTCGCAGAGGCCACATTGGTCAGAAGCCACAGAGTTGCACATATTTAGTCTTTGTTGATTTGTGATCAAATATACAATATATTATAATGAGCATTCGTCAAATTATTATAAGCTACAAATTTGTGCTCATGAGTGCAGGACCTTCGAAAGACGCGGCTTGACCTAATCCTTTGAACTTTAAAGAGTTCGGTCGGCTAAGGGGCCTTTCAGTGACCGTGGACGCTGAGCATGCAGGAACATCTTACGCTCGAGGGCATAAATTTTAAATTCTTAGTAACTTACCACTTTCTCGAAAATTTATAGCCGTGAACACATTTTGGTTAGTAACTTTTGTTTTTTTCTCAGACATGGCTGGGTTTTCTTTCAATGGAACCTGCACAGCATACAGATTTGGCAAGAAACTCTGCTCCTGTTCGACGGAAGAACCAGTCATTTACGTGACCAACTCCAGTGTTTCCTATGAAACTCCCTCAACTGTTCCTTTCAGTGAGGCTCCATCAATTATTGGCCTGTGATTTCATTGTGAGATGAACAAAAGAGTCCAAAAACTTAAATTGGATATAACTGTGTAGTGAATAGGAGTGTCCCTAGACGTTAATAGATTGACCTGTTATATTGCTGTCCGATAAATATGTGGGTCCCGATAAGTTTATTGAATGACCTATAATTTTACTGCGTAAAATAATGTTGTCCCCATGCATTTATAACACAATTCTAACGATATGCTCGAATCCTTCATTAAGATCTTAAGACCTCAAAGTCCTTCTATGTATCAAGAACCAAGAGTTCATTTAGGGACATCAACCCTAAGCATGATTCAAGCAAAACCTTTGACGGTTACCAAGCTCCGCCCGTCAGCGATACCGAGAAATGAACCGAGCTTTCAAATGCTCGGACCCAAGGCTAGCTCCACTCTTTCTGACGATGCCTCTACCACCGTGCTAACAGTTGCGCTAACCATTGCGCTATTTAGTGGCACTTAACCCTAGAACCCATTCTCGAGTACACTCTTCGCGCAATGCCCAATCCTCGTACGTCCCTACCTTCCCAGTCAGACCCTTGCATAAAGCCTCTCGCACAAAGTCTGCCTCTCGCACCATCGCCTGTAGGGGGAGCGTCTACCCTAAAATTGAAAATTTTCACTTTTTCGGTATTTATACTCATTTTAAAGCTGACATTCTGCCCTATCCAACGGTACCACTGCCATATCTGTACGTTGATTTATGATTTCACGACATTTCATGAAAGGGGGGCGGGTGGGGGAGTTCTTTAAGTAATTAGATAGGAACTAATTAGCTGCTGAGAAGGACTAGATCCATTTCTACAGTACCCCCTTTTATTGCCGTTTTCTAAGAATTTCACGTTTTCTTTCATTTTTTTCGAAAAATTTACACGAACAAAATGCGAGTTTTTTTCCATTTTACATATGTGTACCAAGTTTCAGAGTGATCCGACTGTAAATAGCCGAGATAATTTTTAGGGTAGACGCTCCCCTTTGCATAAAGCCTCTCGCACAAAGTCTGCCTCTCGCACCATCGCCTGTAACAGCAAACAGAAGCTGCCAGCTGTATTATTATGCGCAAAGTGTATTGAGTGTGTGCGCAAGTACTTGTGTGTGCTTCCTTTAATATGTCCATATGTGTGTGGGAAGTTAGTCTTTATAAGTTAGCGTATGGGGGAGTTTGGGTCAGGATGTATCTCCTTTTAATGCTCAAGTGAATGTAAGTGGGCGCACCTTTGCAGGAATGCGCCTGACTACATAAACGTTGACACGTGTTCCTGCAAATCAGTCTTTGGTTACACTTTTTACTAATGTTTGGACAGTTGGTAGATACGAGCATATGAGTACTTAAATTGTGCAACAGTCATGCATCTTGCGGACGTGCATCAGCACAGTCGAGCATGCGCCCGTGTCGCGTGAACGTCTGCTGTTTAAAGTTGCTTTTTGCTGCCGTTTGTAGCACCATCAACGTTGACGTTTGCTTCAGGAGTAAAATAACATGTTCTTAGAGACATTTTTGGGTCTGTTTGAGAGCAGCCTGATGTTGGTCTCGCGCGGCTTGATGTTGGTCAAGTAAGCTTTCTGTTGGTCCAGAGCGGATTTGTGTTGCTCATGAATGGGTTGGAACTTCATTTTGGTCCCGAGCGGCTTGGTGTTGGTCTTGAATGGCATTAAGGTATAATTACGGCAATAAGAAGGATTCATATGAAGATTACAGTGATTTTGAATTATTATGAAGTTTTCGCGAGTAGATCACTAATTGGGATATTTTCATGCACGTTCTGCGCTGACGCGAAAAAATGCCAGAAGATGGGTGGTGGCTTTAACTTTCTGCACTAACGCGAGTGGGGGATTCATACACGAATCCAAAAAAAAACCTTACAACAACGAATAGTTTTAGATATGATACTCAAGCCGTAAAGTGATATAGCCTAGACGTACTTCATAAAACTGGAACTGAAATCGATCGCTTAAAACAGGGTTGACAGACCTCATATGTCCAAGTCCTCAGCTCTTCCATTTGATAGAGTACGTGCGACTGTACGATCAGAAAATTGGCAAATTCTCACGCGACTAACCAGTGCGCACAATTTGCGCGGTTAGAAGGCAGGCAGGATATTCTCGGATATGTATGATGTTATGGGTTTTCGTGTACTGGACATTCTAACTGCATTTCTCGCTAGTAGCTTACCTTTATTTATGATATATTAAAAAAAAAATTCAACAGGCGCTGCTCCCTACGTCAACGTCACTGTCGAGAACACCGGATTTAAGCAGTACAAGCTCGTGAATTTCTTCTTGGATGTCATTGCTACCCCAATTGTGCCACCACTTTATACGTAGTAAGTTGTCAATAATTTGAGATGCAAATACCGTTTACAAGTAAGACCAAATCCATCTAGCCTCTCCCTCAAGACTCCAGCTAACCTTCTCTTTCGGAATACTAGTCAATGATAAAAACCCTTCTTTTTCTCATATTTGTTAGCATGATTTGTTAACATGATTCGACATTTGTCAACACATTCGACACACTCGACACTCCTGTCATCACGATGGCAGGGAACTAAAGCACACACTGACCAAGGTGATGTTACTGAATTTTTTTTTCAAATGAATCTCAAGTAAAGCCATAAATCCGCGTATAATGGTGAAGTCACGCCTTTGGACATAACAGAATTTTCTTCATTCTTTCCATGTCGTGTAAGACTTTATAGCCTGCTTAATTAAGTCGACTTGATTCCATTTAAAACTTTAATCGGAGTTTTATAAATAATCTTTTTATTCAATGCTTCAACTAACCATAATAGAATCATTAAAGGTAATTAAAACTGCACGACACTAATGAGTTCGATCGAACATTTTTTCCCGCATTATTATTTAAGAACATAATTCTATATATAGTAAAAGAGACACTCGGAGCCTAAATAAAACAAAATATTCATGAACAAACTTATTTTCATCATCAGTGAGGTCCTTGATCTCTATTATGATGCGTACTTTATGTCAGCTATGAAGAGCCCTTGATCTCCATTATGATTCGCCCTCTATCTTAATTATGATGCGCCCTTTATCTCTACTATGATGCGCCTTTGATTTCTATTATAATGCGCCCTTTATCTCTATAAAGGTGAGCCCTCAATCTATATGATAATGCGATCTTTATTTCTAATATCATGAGCCCTATATCTCTATTATGATAAACCCTTGTATGCGACATCTTAATTCTCGCTTGCTGCTGATGCGCGTCCGTTTTGTTGTTCTACTATTTGGTGTCGGCGTAAGGCAGTTCAATCTGCAGTGTCATGTCTTTCATTCGAATTAAAATTGGAAGCATTTTTCTCAGAGTACTTTTTCAGGATATTTTTGAGAGCACTATTCATCTCTAAGGTAATTTCTTTGGCATCTGTCGATGCAAAGTTCTGATCCCAGCTTTCTCCAAACAGCGAAGCTCCCCAGAGACCTTGACTGACCGATCACCTCTAAACTGCCGACCACAGCTTTTCCATTCCAGGATCTTAACACCGAAATACTTCAATTATTGATGAGTCATTATATCCACTAATTCATTTGTCCCTGTCAGTCCCTTACGTAGCACCGTACGGCCACATCTTTCCTCAAGACGATGGCACCTACAGAGGTATTGGAATATCTGATCTGGACCTGGCTTCTTGCGTCACCGACTCTCCATGCGGATTAACCGTGCTCGTCAGCACAACGCGCCCAGCTTACTACCTGCGTGAGTATCAGCTACGCAGTGTTTTCGGTATTTTAACTGAAGTATAATCTACGTCAGGTTCCCTTGATTTCTCCACACTTTAGGCATTGTGAATAAGTGCTCCGATATAGTACCTGCATATTGGCCCAGAGCCCTCTCACCAATAGTCCATTTCAAATACCTATATCATTCACAAATACTATTTAATTTATAACTGATCAAATATATAATTGATAAATAGTATGTAATTGATAATCGATCCCATATATAATTGATAGTCGTAGTCGTATTATTTTAGCCGCCAAAAACAGAACAAGTTCAGTTCCATCAGTAATAAACACTTGAAGCTCCTACAACCACGATACTTTCAGCTCTGGAATGTGCTGAGTTGTGCTGCTCTAGCCGGTGGTAATAAACTCGCTAACCGAACTCGTTTTGAGGAATTGCATTAGGTTTAAATTTATTTATTTGCTGATATTATTTTCACTTTCTTCTGCACCGTGCAGTGGAAAATATTTCTGTGAAATTTTTTCGGTATGAAATTTTCTACTGTGTTGAATAATGCATACCGTATAGTGGCAAATATTGTCCCAAAAAGCTTACGTCATTTACAGTAGAACGTTGATTGAGATAAAACGAATAATAATTTCCCTGTTCATTTTTTCAAGTTGTACAACTTCCATAGTTTATATTTTTTGTAGCAGGCGTAACTCATTGGAGACCTGGAGACTTTAGCAACTCCTAAGCATGAAATAGTAAGAAATTTTGGATTGTGTCTCGCCTTGCCCTGATTATTATCAATTACAAAGATTAATCATATATATAATTCATTTGTCAATATCAGTCCTTACTAATTAATTATTCGCTTCACCATTTTTTTTTCGTTTGTGTCACCACTTCAGTGATGCAAATAAAATATTAATATTAACTAGACTATAATGGACTAATAATCAGCTTTGTGCTATTATATATACGTCAAATCTACATCGTTTAGCGTCATGCGCACTACACTACACTGAGAGGAGCACTCGGTGAGGTTGGTATGCCACATAATTACTTTGATGTGTCCTTGCTTGGCCTCAGCCGATACCTGACGATGTGAGTCAACACGAGGCGATACAATCATTATACCAAACCAGTTTCATTATGACATATTTTACTCGGGCTTACTGAAGTGAGATGAAGCGCTGCCAGGTGATCAACGGCACGTTAATTTGTGCTTAGCGCCCAGGCTTAAATACAGTCGTGTACAGTAAACATAGCCTAATTTTACTTTCCATGCCATATAAAAGGGTTAATAAATTGTACTCAGTCACTTTAAGATCATTCCACTAATTTGTCTCCGCAGTGAACGAATGCGGCAGGACCATTGAACTTACGGCTGACTTCTCCAAGTCAGACAGGGTTATGGTGTACTCACACCCCGGATTCGGGTGCAAGGCATTCCCCGACGGTCCGGCCTACAACTGCACCGTTACTTTCACATCAACTACTTCTACATTTGGGTTTATCTTTTCTGGAGAATACTTCATGGACGCTGCCAAAACCTGCGACGGCTACACGCTGCGTGCTACTTCGGGTTCCAAATCAATTGATCTGTGCTTGAATAATTTGGTCAGTGGAAGGGAGGGTTTCGGCGTCCGTGTCGATCTTGGTTTTCTTTAATTTCTCCTGCATTTTTTTTCAGAAGAAATGACATATAAACTCACGATAAATTGCACCGATGCCTTGAATTAAACTCACGCATCATAACTCTTATAGGTTCCTTCTGCACTTCAGTCCCAGTTTCGGTTCAACTTAATAATTTACCTTCACTAAATCCGCACGAGAAAGTCCATTCCTTCAGCCTCCATGCAATCAACTCAATCGAGGCAGATTCGATAATTTTGTTATTTTAGTTTCATAATTATCGTCGGTACACAGAAAGATTATAATCATATATTCCGAATCCTCTATAATTAATAATTTTATCGCAAACTATATGCATTTAATTTCTTACTGGGTGTGAGCTAGAGACCTAACCAAATGATCCTAGGCCAGCGTTGTCTTTTTTTTGAGGACAATAAAACAATGTTGGTCTAAACAAGACTTAGTGTGCCTATTCCTTGCAGTCCGTAAATGGCAAGACTACAATCACTCTGCGAGGCCAGGCGCTGGCCAAGGCCTTCAAGGCGGGGTTCTACTTGGCATTCTATAAGTAAATGTGCCCAATTCGCTCCCATCGCCACCCCACGCTCCCTTATCTCAGCAACATCACACACATGATCATCGCAGCCTTCACCTCAAGAGAGGGACTCCAATTCCACAAAAACAAAAATTTATATTCTTCTGAAGTCATATTTCTTAAGTTAGTTGATGTGACCGCATCTCAGAGAGAAATGTCACTAAGACGCGGGGTAATTTTAAATGCAATAAAAAAAGTAAGAAATTATCAGAAATACCTCATAGAAAATGATGGGGCCGCTGAACTTTTGGCAATGCTGGACATGACAACATTGAAGACGCGATGTGATGTCACCCATGAATGATTTTTTTTAGCTGTGTGAAGTGGTGATGCCACCCACGAGTGCTGTTACTTTAGCTGTGTGAAGTGGTGATGCCACGCACGAGTGCTGTTACTTTAGCTGTGTGAAGTGGTGATGCCACGCACGAGT